TGCCAAAGCAAACTTCTGCACTTTTGTGTTTACTGGGCCACTGCAGGGAATAATGCATTCCCCACTTCTCAGCCTGTTGAAGCCCATCGTGAATATCACCTACCCACAGCTGAAAACCAATACAGTTTTCAATTACTGCTGCTTAATCTCACAGCAAACAAACATGATTAACCCCTTTTATATGCATAGCAGATGAGGAAACTGAGACTCAAAGAGGGGAAGTGTTGCATCCCAGGTCACAGAGAGGCTAGCCCTCCTCTCCATCTCCTCTGTAATTCTATGAGGGTACTGATCCTTATATGGATGATGCACACATTTCTTTCATTCCCTGCCTTCCCGCCCCCACAACACACATGCAGCTATAAATGTACAACAATGCAAGATGTATAGGAATTAGGGCCTCAACAAAAATTTGGTGAATGAAAGAATTATGTATATTCCTTCTGAGGTACCTAGCCTGGTACTTGACACAAAATAGGTTCTCCGTTAATGTTTTTAATGGAGCTGAAATTGCAATACCTCGTCATATAAGGGTATAACACAGGGAGAAAATCAGAAGAAAACAAATTATGGCAAAACCTCAGCTATCCAAAGCTCCCTGGGTCAGCCTTTGAATCCAAGAGGAAGAATCCTCAATCTTCCTTTCGAGGGGGTCTTATCTGTCCCAAGTACTCCAGGCCCCATCACATCAAGAGGGCTGCTTCTCTCTCAGAGCTGCCCTTGCTTTCACCACCCTTTCCTTCATCTCTGTTTCCTTCCACTTTTCTCCTTTGTTTGTTGTTCTTTTGAAGTTTCTTAGCAGTCCAGCTTATCCTAGATGGCCACTACCTCTGGCCTGGTTAGCTCACTAAACTCTTCTTTGGCCTGCCCTTCCAGGCCTCTTTCACCTGGTCCTTTCCTCTTTGCTGCACCATGCCCTTTCCCATAGAACCTGCCTCACCTCCCTGGGGGCAGATGCTTCTCTCTTCTGTCTATTCTACATCTACTTCCTACACTGGACTGTAAGTTTCTTGCAAATGGGAATCAAGTCAATCTTCAGTGTTTGCAAATGAAATTGGCAGGCCTTTTATGCTTCTTGGCAACCTTTCCTTTGTTATTGCTTACCCTGAGGAAGCCAAGCTTTTGTTTGCTGCCTAGTTTAAGGTGACCAGACATCTCACTTTTGGCGGGACATTCCTGATTTTTAACAATTTGTCCCGCGTCCCATGGCGTTTTTAAAAAGTCCAGATTTTTGGAAAGAATGCACGACAAGCTAGGGAACAGCAGGAGAACAGGAAGGGAATATACGGTTTTCAGCTGCCATGTGGTTATTTTGCCAGGATATGAGTTTTATATTATTTTTGTTAATTTTATAATGTTAAACTTTAATAATAACAAATAATTGTTGAGAACTGATTATCGAG